TATCTTTGAGACCTTCTCCCTTATCTCACTCAGGCCTTAGCCAGCACAAAGCCCAGCCTCATGACTCCTTATTTATTACCTTCTAAACCTGACCTCCTCTCCCACCTTCTACCACAAGCTGCCATTATTTCTTCCTGGTGTACTGCACTACTTTCTAAGGGTCCACTTGGGTTCCTTGTAATACATCAGTCAGAAGAGTCTCAACAGTCTGCTGTTCTCACCCTTTGTGCGTACCACTCTCCAGTAGGACTTGGTGTGTGCAGCCTTGTCAGTAGGCCCACAAAGTTCTCCGTAGTTCCCAGCTTGGCTGTATTTTAGTTCCCTCTCTGTTGAGCCTGATTCAACAATTTCTGAAAAGAATCTGAGAGATCTCTCTAACTAAAAGCTTCCAAGATAAATTTTCCAATAATCAGATTTATGAACACGCTACTTTGGAGAGGAGATGTTATATATGTTATATATATATGTTGAGACAGCCTGGGCTTGAACTCCAGCTCTACCACTAGCTCGTGAGGCACGTTACCTTGACAGATGACAATGTAGCTTGTCATTGTGGTTCAGTGTTCCTTTTTGAAATGAGGTTACGGTGTTAGATGATTTATAGAATTGTTTTGAAGATTAAGCAAACGTGTGATCCTCAGGATAATTCCTGACATAGAATAATAGTTGATGCTGGTTGGTTATTAGGTGTTTGACGTTGATTTTCTTTTCTATATTTTATTTCTTTTTAATTAACTTGTAATAATGCAATAATGAAGACTTAATGGATGGTTACTATCTCCTTACAAGGACTAATAACTTTAATAGATGTAGTAAACCTTTTCAGGAAACTGGGTAGTCTTCTGGCAATATTGTCCTGGCTAGAGGAAAGCGTTTTCTATAGAAACTCCTTTCAGTCTTATCTAAGGACATATAAGACAGCAAAATAAAATTGAGCTATAATCTATAAGTGCTATTAAACAAGAAATTACTTCTAATTTTTCTATGTATAGACAATTATATATGTTGGGGCTGGGGACATAGCTCAGGGGCATGAGCCTGCCTGGCAAGTGCAAGGTCCCGAGTTTGATTCCAGGTACTACAAAAACAAAACAAAAATATTATATATATCTACTGAGAAATGACAGAAGGAACCCTTGTTAAAAGTTTATTTTATTAGCCATGAACATGTTACTATAATGCAACATGCTAGCTCACTTATACAAACTCATTCATTACCTTGTATATTTGTTCTTCTCAAAGGTAGTATTTCAACTTACTATAATTAGGTACTTCATTTAAATCACTAAAAAGTGTCTTGTCATGATGCCAACCAGTGTAGAAATCTGACATTAGCATTGTTTAGTTATTATACTCATTTCCCAAAATATATGTTCATCCTAAAGGATAAGCAGCTTTTTAATTTTCTAAAGTCCTCGTCTTGCTGGGTATGGTGGCATATACCAGTAATCCAAGCACTCGGTAGGCTAAGGCAGGAGAATCATGGTGAATTCAAAGCTAGTTTGAGCTGAGTTGAAGGTCAGCTGGAATTGCATAGTGAAACTGTGTGTCCAGAGAGAGGAGAGGAAGAGGGGGAGGGAGGGAGAAGGGACAAGGGAGGGGAGGGGAGAAGGAAGAAGGAAGAAGGAGAAATAGGAGGAGGAGGAGGAAGGGAGGGAGGGAGTGAGAGAAAGAGAAGGACGGAGGGAGGGAGGGCAAGGCAAGGCAAGGCAAGGCAAGGCCAGGCAGGCAGGCAAGCAACATTCTCATCTTGGTTAAAATAAAGTTAGTACAATTTTTAGAACACAGACTTGAGTTTATTTTAAATCACGTTATGTTACCTAAATTATCTTTGCAATTATGCAGACATATTTGAAAATTTTTTGTGATAGTTTGGGGAATATTCAAAAATTAAACGCTTAGTTTTATTAGCAAGTTAATTATTATAATGGTTTGAATTTTGAGCCAAAATACATCTCCCAGAACCTGTAAGTATGACTTGATAGAGAATAAAGGTCTCTCTAATTGTAACTAAGGTACGGATGGCAAGATGAAATCTGTCTAAAACAGTGTGGTCCTAAATCCAGTGACCTGTTTTTATAAAGACACATGAAAGGAGAGACATGGAAAGCCATAGAGGGAGAGAGGCAGTTTGAGACAGATACAAGAGATCGGAGTCATACTGCGATAATACAAGCGATGCCAGCAGCCACCATAAGTTGGCCTAAGGAAGGAAGGATTTTTCCCAGAGCTTTTATAGGGGTAGTGGCCCTGCCGGCCCTTGCCCTTTAGACTTCTGACTTCCAAATCTGTGAAAGAAATAATTTCAGCTGTTGTTAAGCCACATTTGTTATAATCTGTTGCAGCAATCCTAGGAAACTAATAGAGGAATACATTTGATCCTAATTATAGGTTTCAAAATCATTGAAATGTTGATTTGTAGCTAACTTGTATTTATATCTAAGAGCTTTTCTGTGAGTATATCAAAGATGGGACACTGATCACCACAAAAGTGTGTACCTACTATTCCACTTGACCTCACAGAGTTACTGTTCTGGCTTTTCTGCCCCACCATAGATGTGGCCGGCGGTTACTCCTATTCCATGCTTGACGCAATCAGAAGAGCAGTGATGGTTTCCAATGTCCTTTTAATTAATAAGGTAAATGAGAAAAGCCTCACCTTTGAAGAAGTCTTCAGACTAGCTACCCTTGGAGGAAGCCAAGGTAATGACCATTTTATTTCTCTCTGACATTGCTCTGTTCTGCTAACCTGTGTCCTGGGAGAGAATGTGAAGGTGCATAACGGTGGGATTAAGCTATTCAGAATTCCTGTCATACCTCCCATAATACACCCAAAACTTAGCTAGGCAAATATATGTTCAGGTATGTGGGGGAGGAATCATTCCGTGAATTCACTGTCTTTGAAGGAATAGATATTTGATAGACAATAATCATAGTAATCATTTTAATGGATATTTATGTTGGTCACAGGCATTTGTGTTCTTTAAAATCATCTACTGTTTTAATTGAGTCAGGTATTTGCTCTCTCCTGGATTGAGTGGTACTATGAGTAAAAGCGATGCTCCATACTTACTAAGATCTTCCCGCAGGCACAGTGAACACACTTTATTTTGCTGTCACTGAACTCTCATAAGCCCTGCTCTTAATTCCATTTTATAAGCAAGGAATTTCGGTGAGTTTTACAATGCTGATAAGCTGCAGTGTGCCCTGATTTGGATCCAGAAAATCTGCCAGGGTGCCGATTCTTATCTTCTCCCCTCCACTAGACTATCTTCCTCTGTAAATCCTACCTCAGCCATGGATGTATTTGGTGAATATATTTAAGAACGCTAATTGCTCAAGCCTCTTTAAAAGAAGAAAGAGATAAAAATATAGTTGGCTTATAAGCAAATATTCTCCAGCTCTTCTCAATTATCATGTATAACTATTTTTTAAAAATGTGATTGTATGGCTTAAGTCATTTTAGAAATACAGCATAATCTGAGTGGATGATAGTGAAAATAGCACAAAATCAAGATAGCCAACAAAAATTAAAAACACACAGACAAAGATAGACATAGATGTCGTGTGGCTATGTTGTACCTTAGAAATGAAGGGTGATCCAAAGACGAGGACTGTGCCACTAAACTCAGCTTCCTGTCTCTCCCCTGAATGCTCTAGGTTGTAGTGAACACCATACAGAACATTTCAAGAAAAATAAAATAGCGGTGTAAGCCTCATGGCTTCATTTTTTAAACTCTTAAGTTTCGAGTCGCCCATTTTTTCAAGCTTTCTTCCCCACATCATCACAGTACTTTCACATCTCAGTTTGGTTTAAGTTGTTCCACTATTTTCCTGGTGCAAGCAAGTTGAATTGAACAAATCCTTTTTTTATTCTAGGCTGTGCATTGTTTGCCCCAGCAGGATCCGCTCCTGATCAAGCCATCATGAGACGCCTACCAAATCCTTTCTGCCTTGCAATGTACCTCTTAAATCTGTGTTTCTGGGCTGCTGGGTTACTGTTACAGGATTTCTTCTCCTTAACTTGAGTCTCTACTATAGTTGGAACAAAATGAAATAAATGGATTCCTGTTTAAAGTGTGGCCTTTGGGCTGGCGAAATAGTTCAGCAGACTAAGAGCCTGCTTTGACAAGTGCAGAGATGAGGATTTGATCCCCAGTCCCGCATGCCACGGGACACACTGGGGCACACTGAGCCAGTGACTCTGTCTGGGCATGGTGGGTCATGCCTATAATCCCAGCACTAGGAAGGCTGAATCTGGGCATGGTGGCACAGACCTATAATCCCAGTGCTGGAGAGGCTGAAAACAGGAGGATCATTACAAATCCAATTTGGGTAGTGAGACCCTGTATCAAATACATAATTGAAAAATAAAGTGTGGCATTTTCTAGGCCCTGCCACAGCCTTTAAAGTCACTCTCATGAAGATCAAAGTATATCTGAATCATCTGCATGTAGCTAACGTTTATTCCAAAGAGCAAAAGTGCAATTCCTGAAGCATTTGAATTGTTTTCCTCATGGATGGGTCCATCTGTAGCAATCTGAATTACACTATTTTTCAAATTCACTGAAAGCACAGTGTCTTTTTTGGTTAGCTCATTATTGAACTCTTCAGGTTCTAATAATATGGAGCTAGCTATCTAGCCTACAAAAGACACAAAAGTTTTATACTGAATAGGCATAACGATGAATACTCATGCCGAAGTTATTTAAAACTCATGCTTCTTTGTCAGAGGCAAACAGAAGTAGAGTCAGTGAAGGAGAAAAATTTCTAGGGATTTTTTCTGTCATACGTGACTGTCTCCCCTACAATTAGAAGGGCATCTAACAGCTTTTAACATTTCTAATGATTTTCATAACCACTCTTTTGCTATGAGGGTCTTTTTTTAGATTAAAAAAGATCTTTTTCTTTTCTGAGAATAATAGAGTTTCCATTTAAATAATCTTTTAAGAGCAAGGACTCTAAGTCAGTACTCGGCCTTGCCAATTTGGAATACATACTCATAAAATATACTGCATTGCCTCCCAGGGAAAATCTACTCAGTTCTTTCAATACAGACTATGCTCTGACAGTAATAGAAGGCAGCCATCATGTGTAGCAGCTGAAATCAATAACTACATCGGTTAACCTTAGTTTTGTGCATGTTTTTGTCCAACAGCTCACTTGCTTGGATTATAAATTTAAGGAGATTTAGTGTTGATACCTGCATTGACCAGGAAAGCCGTCTATAATTCTTTGAAAACTAAATCAAGGAGAGGAGAGATGCTCTTCCCTGGTCTCCAGTAATCACGGGCAGGAGTTACAGCTGAGAGACAGGCCAAATCAATGCACGTGATTGATGCATGCCTTATTTTAGAAAATCATTCTTCTCGGGCAACTAGAAACCCTTCGAGGTTACAGGGTAACTGGTCTCCTTTCAAAATCATTGGGACTCTTGAATTATGAGAAGCTGTTTACTTTGCCAAGTGAGTTGTTTTTCTTTTTTTTCCTATCCAAATGGTTTAAACTACAGAATTTACAATGGATATACCTGCATTGGTAAATATACAAAAGGATTTTATTTACTCATGGTTCATTTCATTGCCATAAAAATAAATCTTTTTAGGGCTGGGAGACAGCTCAATGGTCTAAGTGCCTGCTGGTAAGTTCAAGGACTCGGGTTTGATCCCTGGTAACACAGGCCATGCCGGCCACTGAAAGTGCGTGTGGTAGCACATGCCTGTAGTCCTAGTGCTGGGGAGGCTGAGACAGGAGCCTCAGTACAAGTCTGTGCTGCGTAGTGAGACCCTGTGCCAGATAAATAGAAGATTAAAAAAAAAAAAAAAAAAAAAGGAAATAAGTCTTGTCAGCTGTTTCATGAGAAAACAGGCAAAGAAAGGAGCTAGAGTGTTATGGGGAGAAGAAAAAAGATCGATGTTGTACCAGTTATGTTTCTCAGAAAAGCATACCCCAGCTGCCCAAGAGGTACCCTGGTAGCACTGAGATAGAGACACCCTCAAAATTATAATTATGGCGATCAAGGGAACTCTTTATTCTCAGATTTTGCTTTCCTTTGTTCACTCAGCTTTTGTGAGTAGACTTCGTGTCACCTATTTAAACAAGAGCACTCTTCTGCCCTACTACAAAGATACTAATTTTTTTTCTAGTGACGTGTTGGCAGTCTCTGTCCTTGCAGACCAGTTCGTGGGCATGATCAGATGGCCTGTAAGACTGACTGTGTGCTCATTGGTTCCCCTCTATAGTCCTGGGCCTGGAGAATGAGATTGGCAACTTTGAAGTGGGCAAGGAATTCGATGCCCTCCTGATCAACCCCAAAGCATCTGACTCTCCCATTGACCTGTTTCACTGCGATTTTGCTTTCAATGCTTTTGAAGTAAGTAAGAGGAACTTTACCAAAGACATTCATCTCATAGACATCGTAATAGCTCCCCTATGGAAAAAAGTAGAGAGCCTGAAGCAGTCTAAGGAGATGCAGGAGAATCGTGAGGAGAAGTCAGATCCCTTTGACAATTATTATCACACCATGAGAGCAATGTTAAGAAAGTGTAGTCAAGTGTGGTGGCACATGCCTGTGATCTGAAGCCCTTGGAGGGCCGGGTGGGGCAGCAAGATTGCTGCAAGTTCAAGGCCAGCCTAGACTACATAGGGAGGTCGTGTCTCAAGAAACTGAAAAGAAAAATCTGTAGTAAGAAAATACTTTCATTTTGTATGTTTGTGTAGCCAATGTATGTTTTTGTAAGGCGCCACAGCACGGTTAGCTCACGCTGAATGCCCGCTGCCTGCTCAATGCCAGGCACTCGCAGGCATAATCCTGCTTAGTGATCAGGGCAACTCCAAGAGAGATTAAGCACGATTAATATTACCATGTTAATGATAGTGTCAGAGAGGCTTAGGGGAAGTTACGGGGTTTACTCATTGCCTCCTAAGTATAGTTACCTCGCAGAGTTTAAATTCAAACATGATTCTTGATGACCATCATGCTGTTGCTAAGGTAGTGTTTCCAAAAAAGAATTAACTATTGTCATTTATAAATTGTTTATTTAACCTAAATGTGACAATAAATATGTCATTCTGAGGTGTTTCAAAGAAAAATACTGAATTATTTCAAGTTGATATCCTTTGTTACTTTAGGGAAGCAAAGCTGTCTCTTTCTCTACCATGTTAGGTTTAAGTTGAAATCCATACAGCAAGAGACGGATGGGCCAGAAAATATATTAAGTATTGTGTGGCAGAATATCCTTCTTAAATGAAAATCTAAAGAAATGAGAAAAACTGAGTATTTTTATTCTAAGTTTGATCTAGAATGTAGTTGTGGAGAAGTGCAATGAACAGAAAAGGAGGATGTGAAGAGACAGAACTAGGGGAGGCTAGTGAGACCTGACTGGTCAGCTTCTACAGAACCTTTTATAGAAAGGAGGCTGCTCCTCTCCGCTAAATGCAACGAGGGCGCCTCTCACAGGAGGGCCTTGCGACCTGATTGGGGGAGAGTCAAAAAATTCTTCCTAGATTTGAGTACTTGTTTCAGAAAGAAAGGAAGTGAAGGGAAGGAAGATCAGAGTGACCTTCCAGGTTTCACTTTCTAGGTAGTGTGTCCTGACTCCGTCATTAGTCTTACATTATTATTTATTCTTTTACTGGAGTGAGTTTCCAAGAATCCCATGCATCTAGTCATTTTCTATTCATATAGAAAATGAAATATTTTCTCCTGAAATATTTCAATCATTTCACTAGTCTCTTTAATTTATATAACACTTTTTCTCTGAAGACCTTACCATTGTATACCAGTAACTTCCAGACATTCTGCCAGTGGACAAATCTTTGTTAATAACCATTGGCTTCAGCTTTTGTTTATTTGTTGTAGGATTTTATTTGTTTGGAAGAATGACTAGAAATAGATTTTGATATTGATAAATGAATTTCAATTTCCGGGCTTTGCCAACCAGTTTCCTTTGAATTTTCTTCACAGGAAAGATATTTCAGCCATTTCTTATGATCTTTATATTCTCTTTTAGGCTATTATCCAGAAGTTCTTCTATCTAGGTAGGTACATGTGTATCTCTGTGCTAAATAAGGTCTTTGTGTTTTCTTGGGTATAGGTCTCTGTATTCATTTTACCACACATTAAACTCTGTATGTTGTCTGCTTGGATTCATCTTTAACTCTCCTCAGCATCAATCCTGTGGATGTCACAATATTTATCTGAAATGCCCATGAGCATGTAGAACATACATTGTAAGTCTAAGGTCAGGAATGAAGAGCAAAGAGGCGGAGATCTTGACTTTCAACCCTCTTTGCTCCTTTGGGACCCCAGTCTGTTTTGTCTCATTGTATGTGTGGTGAGTACGGCCTGGACTTTCTTCTCATGTGCTTCCTCTGAACTTCTCTCCAACTCTGTTCACTGAGAGAGAAATGAGAAACAATGCCAAAGGCTGTCCTCTGCCTCCCCTGCCATTGAGCAGTGCTGTGCTTCATGAACTTGGGATGAAAGTAGTGTCACTTTCTGAGGAGCTCATGTCACCATATTGAGTACGATTCTGCATTGTAAAGATCCATATTTCTCTTCCAACAGCAGCTGAGAGTGCCCGTAACCACTTCAGCTGAAAGGACAGGGATGGGAGTGGTTTCAGCTCAGTGTCATTTCTACCTTCAGTTAATCCTCAGATTACCAATGGCATCTTCTGATCAAGTAACCTGACCAGTTTATGAACAAGAAAAGGAAAGGGAGGAGGGGAAAGCAGCTTTCTTTAGAAAGGTTTTATTTTTCAAATCTCTGTTAATGGCAATTAAAATAATCATTAGCACAAAAACACTTAATGAATTGTTTTCTTTTTCTTTCAGGAGACGACCGAAATATTGAGGAGGTTTATGTGGGTGGAAAGCAGGTGGTTCCATTTTCTAGCTCAGTGTAATACCCATGGGCATCTACAGGGTTCTCCTAGGATGACCTGGTTCTGTAGGTCCTTTGGGCCCAGCCAGGGTCAGAAAGTCAAAAACAGTACCTCATTCTGGGGATGACGGTCTCTTTCTGTGTCTAGTTACTGTATTCACTTGGTAAATTGTTTGAAGGAAGTGTATTTATTCCCAGCTCCAGCCGGCAGGTTCGTAATTTCATGAAAATCTTTTGAGCTATTCAGAATTACGTTAAGCTCAAGCAAAAGAGAATGTTATTACTAGCAGTGGCTTATTATGGGGATGAAGTAAAATCTTTTTACATATATGGAAATATAGAAAGAAAAGATATTCCTATCTGGTTAGTTATTTTGAGGTAGTAAGTATGAAAATTATGGAACTGAAAATGGATCCATGGATATATTTTTATGAAGGAGTAAAAGACTGTGAACAAATGTTGGAAAATCATTTCAGATTGTGTTTAAAAGTTATATCCTAAGCACACTGATTTAAAGAGATAATTTGCTGAATTTTAAAATGTGTTTCTAGATTGACCTTGTGTTAGAAATTTACATTTAATGGAATTTACATTTCAGAGAGCTGTATCATTGTGTTTTGCCTTCTTTCAAGGATGAATATCAAAAATTGAAAGCCACGTGCTTTTTAAATATAATTCTGTGCTTCAAAATATTTGACAGAAGTTGAGTATTAAATCTTAAAGTCTCTTAGGAATATTAGTCACATAACTACATGGCATAAATTGTTATAGTTTGTGTACTTTAAAATCATCTTAATTTGTACCCATGTGGTGTTATAATTCCTTCGTTTTATTATAAGAGAAGCAGATTCCAAAATCATTGTTGTGTAGATTTGCACCTTCATAAATTGGAGCAAGTCATTGGGTGTCCAAAGCTGCTGATGCTACAAGGAGAAGTTCTCTTTCAATGGCCTGTTCTACCCAACCCTATGCTGTAGCTGCTGGAAATTTCATCCTCAGATATTAATATGGTAGAGCTTTCAATTGAAGGACAAGTTATGTTAAAGAAATAGTATTAAACTCTATATGTTGAAAGTGCTATGTTTTTTAATTGTATCCAATTGTCTGTTTAATTCCTTAAAAATTTTCTGGATATTCAGATTATAGCATAATACAAGATATACAGCTATTCCAGTTAATGTTTATATTCTGGCCATCTAGGAATATTAAACAATTTGATGTTATGCTTCCTACTAATATTGTGTCATTTCCCATAAGGTAGAATTAAAATCACATTGTGATTCTAGGATAAATTCTCAGAAAGTAGTGGTGTCTTATTTAAGTCTTGTGTTTCCTAATTTATGCCAAGCACTACATCTAAACAAGGAAAGGAAATAGGTTTCCTCAATATAGCACAACGTTTATTCCTAGGACTTGAGTATAACTTCTTGCTATTACCTTATAACAGAAAACTTATAAAATATAGTTCATCACATATTTGCACAACTAAGAACACAATTCCTATCCTATAGGGTGAATATTACTTTCACATATTCATTTTAATCCAATTGTAATTTGCCCAGATTTTTTTCATGATAGGACTCTTTCAGATTGGATTGTATAAATATTGCATTAGTGCAATATAATTTTTTAAAAGAAAATAGCATAGTTTGTTTTGTGGGATACTAATAATCCCGTAAACCTCATTTCCAATGTTCGTCTATATTTCCAGTGTTTGTAATTCCTGAGCCACATCAAAGCAGTTCCACCAGATTTCTTTCCATTTCTGTATAGTTCTGGCAAATGTTCTGTGCTCTGGGTGTCATCCCCTGCCAAAGAAACTTGGTTACAAGTTGTCTAACCAAACAAACTGAGGAGCTTGGGTGAAATGCTTAAGGGCCTGTGTTTGCAAACAGCTTCTCCTGGGCTTCCCAGGACCTTATGCTTTCACCTTCCTTAAAAGGGAGCATTTTGGTAATGAGCACCAGTTTTTGTTTAGACTTGGGATTCACATACAGTATTGTAAATAAAATATAGTATCAGAAGCGAGAATAATGGCCATACACAAACATTTTGTCATACATTCAGTTTAGCCCTGATGTCCTATTAAGAAATGGATATCTTTTCTAGTAAAAATGGAATGTGCTGAAATAGTTACATGCACTTTGATCTCTCTGCATCCTTTGTAACTTAAATATTTTACTCCCCAAGTGCTGTGTTCCTGAATGTTAAATATGCTTTTTTTCAGTACCCATGGGCCTTAGACAAACGTGGGGCCAGATGTTCTGCACTTTGAAATATTTCCTTTACCTAGTCTAGGATAACTTTCTGGATTGTGGAGAGGTGCTCTCCCAAGCCACTTCTGTTGGGCACTTTAAGTTTGAATGGTTTGTTATCTGACATGAAAGAATTAAAACTATTATCACCTCTCTATATCCTATATCATTATATTTTCAATGGAGTACATTTTAAAATGTAAAAGCATATTTTACCATTTGCTATCCAGTCACAAAATATATTTGCAGCCAGAACAAAAAAGGAGGCTCATCAATTAACGTAAAGTTGACTTTCAAAAGAGAAGAAAACATGGCAAAAGATCAGGGTGTGAGACAATATCTTTGTCATCAACCAAGATAAAGGAGACATTACTCCTTTATTTCCCCAGCTGCTTCTCTAATTGAATTGTTCACAGGGTTCAGAATCCAAGACAATATCTCAAAACAAGTTCCCTTTGAACTCCATTGAATTGCTTTTCTACTTCAGTGAGAATTCTGCAAGTTTCAGGAAAGGAAATGGTAAGAAACACGCTGCTTTGTGCTTCACTGATTTTGAAGTGTGCCCTTGAATATCCTTGTTTGGGACTGTTGCCCAAGATCTTAGAGAGGAAACATAATGGGGGTGAAAACTCACATGCATTTGACTTCTGATTCCCCACCAGACTCTTCCTGTTTTTTTGGTTTTGTTTTGTAATTCTTCCAGATTTTAAGTTTTTCACCTCAGAACCAGACAGATGGAAAACTTCAAAGGCAGGCTGGAAGTCACACTGTATCAGTTCTATCTTTCAGGATACCTAGGAGATAGCCAGAACTAGGGGCTTCTGAAGACCACTGGACATCTTTTCATTGTTCATTTTTTAAGTTGGCTTTGCTGCTGAAAATATTTGTAGGTCTGAAGAGTGCTCTGAGTTATTTAAGGTAGACTGAGAAGTGCATCATGACTTGAAATATTTACTTTGTAAATAATGATGATCATTAGGAACTTTGAAGATTTTTTTTCTTTAACAGTTAAAGAAGTTATATGAAATTTTTGACTCCTAGGTATCCACTATTTTAGGTATGACTTCAGACTTTATGTCTCATGTCTAGAAAGATACAAAGGGAATACACAAATGAAATTAATAAAAAAAAAAAAAAAACTATGCAAAGACCTGGAAAGGAGGGCACAGATAGGAAGAAAACCCCAGTGTTGGTCAACATGTGTGTTTCCACACTTAGCCTCACCCACTTCCCCAACAGACTTGAGTGTGACAGAGATGGAGAGCTGGTGGGTTGGTTTGTAGATCTAGTCCAAATTTAATTAAGTGCAAAAATCAAACAGAAATGAGATGGAATGAAATTCAATTGGTGCAATTCAGTATAACTTCTAAGTGGGCTTCCATTGTCCATGGAGTTCAAGGGACTTGGGTAACATGTCATTCTTAACTGACCAGTTGTGTTACAGTGACTCTCCTGTCCACTTTCAACTCAAAAGCCTATTAGAAAACATTCCTTAGTCAAAATCACTTTATGTTGTAAGTAAATTCCTGATGACTGTGCTTAAGAATATATATATATGAATATATATGTATATATTCATAAACTGACATTTATTTATATGATTTGCTTATTGTTATTTGCTGAGTGAGCCCCTTTGTGCTTTAAGAAAATAAATGAGATTATGTGTTTACCTTATTTTTGCATGTCTGTGTGATTTGGTTTGATATGAATTTTCTCAGTCTAATAAGCAGACTAACCTGATTTTTTTTCACTTTTCCATATATTTTTAAAAAACAAAATAGAATATTTAGCTATGGGCCTACATATATCTCCTATCCTATGATAGTCATTATACAAACCCTTTTAAAAATTAAGCTTTCAGCCAGGCATGGTGTCCATGCCTGTAATCCCAGCACTCAGGAGACTGAGGGAAGAGGACTGCTGTGAGTTTGAGGCCATCCCAGGCTACAAAGTGAATTTAAGTCCCACTTGAATTGCACAGTGAGACTTTGTCTCAAAAATACAAAAAATATTAAGCTATGATGTTCACCTTTTTAAAAAAATCACTATTTCTTTTAATGTTTACATAATATATTTTCATATTTTTACAACAAAAATGCATACTACATCAAGAAGTAGTTCACAGAATTCTTAAGTATGTATTCAAAACAAAATTGCATAGATAACACCTTATCTGTGATGCCGTGATTGTTTTCAGTACTGTTTTACTCAGTTTTCTTTTGATTTTTTTATGCGGATGGCCATTGTCCACATTGCTTTCTTTTGCTTCCAATAGATCATCAGCTTCAGTTTTTTGGACGCAGTATTCTGGTATCTTTCAAGCTGTGTTTCATTCTCAGCTCAGACACTTCCTTCCTGGGTGGCCGTCCAATTCTTTGTAATCTCCATGGCTCCAAAATACTTTGCACCAAAGAACTGACATGATTGCCAGTCTTTGGGCCAAAAGGACTAAATAAAATGATAAGAGGCATACACATCACTTACAGTATCCAGCCATATACTGTGCTCACTACTTGATGCATATTATCTTAACAGATACAGACTGATGGGAGATAAAAATAAGCTTTAAATTATTAATTTTCTGATTCTAAATCAAGTGATATTAAGGATTGCCTACATAAAAATGTCCCATGTATGATTTTTCAACAGGATTTTTCAATGTTTGTGATTTCCTTATTTACAACACAGTACAAAGACAGTTGTGCCTTTTTTCTCTAAATGTATCCCCAAGCATTTGAGTGATGTGCTGGACAAGTCCCCAGGTGACCCTGGTGATCCAGTCCCCCCCCCCATTTCTTGCTGCAGTAGTTCTCAAGAGTAATGTAGAACATGCTAAGAATGCAACAATGCTGGGGTACTTTAGCCAGCATGAGGTATAAAACCAGTCTGTTGTTTCTGAGGTCCTTCAGCTATGGTACAATGTGGGATAAATGCACATGAGATTCCATCTTAATCTTAACCTTCCGGAGCCTTGGGGGACTGGCTTGCCACGAGCTTTAGGCCTTGGTCACCCCTCGCTGTCCTTTGGTGAGTAGTAAAGTGGCTTTAAATAACTCACTGTGCTATTGTGTTATCTTACCAGACTCTCAAGTGGTAGAAATTGCAGCCTCGCATTCAATGGTGGTGGTAGACCTGCTTCACACAACTTACTCAACATTTTTCCTTCTTAGAGTGTTTTAGTCAAAATGCCCAGAAGAGATACTTTATGTTCATGAATTAGCCATAGTGTGGGCCCGAGAGGTATATTGGCAGAAACAATTGGTAGTTAAGATGTGCAAATTATTGTGTGATGTGGAAGTCACTATTTAAATAAATTAAGTTGTACAAATAAACACCTGGCAATAGCAAAACGGCTTGTGGCAAGGTTTTAAGAGACCAAGAAAAGGCTACTCAGTTAAGCTACTGTCACTAATAAAAACAATTTTGTTTTGTTTTAATGTTTTAAAAAATTGGATTAAGAAAGTGTTCAGTCCTTTATTTGAACAAAAAAGCATTTAAAAGAGTATTGAATGTTTTTTTACTAGTCCAAATTTAACTTTATTAGTTGAACCCTACATCTAGTATACATCGTTATGAAATTACTTCGACCTTACAAGAATCAATAAATCAAAAAATTGAGTGAACATCAGTACTTACTATGGGAATCTATATTTTAGCAAGATGTAAAACAAAGAAGAAATGGACAGAATTGCCAACACTAAATGAAAAATATACAAAAAAATTCTTTTTAAAAGCCCCTATTATCAACCAATGAAATTGAAAATCTAATTAAGAACTTTACCAACAAAGAAAATCCCAGGCCCTGATAGATTCTGCTGAATTATGCAAGAAATTTAGAGAAGAACTAAAACCACTAATGCTGAAACTCCTTAAAGAAATTGAAAGGGAAGTAATATTTCCAGAATCATTCCTGGAAACAAGTATTACGCAAAAACTAACTACATGCCAATATCCCTAAAGAACATTGATGCAAAAATCCTTAGTAAGATACTGGTGAACAGAATGCAGTGAATCACCAAGATACGCATCATGACCAAGTGGGATTCATACCAGGGATGCAAGCGTTGCTCAACATATGCAAACCAATGATACACCATATTAACAAAACCAAAGATAAAAATCACATGATCATCTCAATAGATGTAGAAAAAGCATTTGACAAAGTCCAATACCCATTCATGATTAAAAACTCTACAGGGGCTGGGGAGATGGCTCAGTGGAATAAGCGCTTCCCTGGCAAGTGCAAGGGCCTGAGTTCAATTTCTAGTTCCACCAAAAATAAAAACCCTGCAGAAAATGGGAATAGATGGTCTCTAACTCAATCTTATAAAAGTCATCTGTGACAAACCAACAGCTAAAATATTGAATGGTCAGAAATTGAAAGCTGTCACTCTAAAATCAGGAACAAGACAAGGATGTCCTTTATCATCACTTCTATCCAATATAGTTCTGGAAACATTAGTGAGATCAATTAGACAACAAGAAAAAATAAAAGGGATAAAGATAGGAAAAAAATTAAATTATTATTTGCAGATGACTTGATATACTACATAGAAGATCCTAAAAATTATACTGAAAAATGTATAGACTTAATATCCAAATTCAGTAGTACAGTAGAATACAAAGTCAATACTCAACAATACCATTCCTTTACACAGGCAATAAACTCACAGAGAGAAATTAGGGAAAGAACACCCTTTGTAATTGCCTCCAAAAAATGAAATACTTAGGAATTAATCTAATAAAGGTTGTAAAAGATCTATACAATGGAAAGCATAATACCCCAAAAACAGAGATTGCAGGGGAGATGAGAACATGGAGGTTGTTTTCTTTTGGGACCTGAAATACTTCTCTCCAACCTCTTCTTGACTTGATGGCTTGTGGTGAGAAATCTGCCATGATTCTTTTTTTTTTTTTTTTTTTTTTTTTTCGCAGAACCAGGGATTGAACTCAGGCCCTTGCACTTGCCAGGCAAGCGCTTAATCTACTGAGCCATCTCCCTGGCCCCTAAAAATCTGCCATGATTCTGATGGGCTTTCCATTATAGGTGATGTTTCTTTTTTCTAACAGCTTTTAATGTTCTGTTCCTTTGCTGAGTTTCTGGGATCTGGATTATTATATGTCTGAGTGTACATTTATTTTGATTATGGCTCATTGGAGTTCTAGATGCTTCACGTATCTATGTCTGGTTCTTTCCCCATGATTGGGGAATTTTCTGCTATTACCTCTGCAAATAGTCTTTTATGTCATCCATGTTGACTCCTGCTTTTGGGATCTTTCATTATTGAAAAGTTACTGCACATCAAAAGAAATCACCAATAGAGTAAAAAGAAAACCCCCAAATTGGGAAAAGTTTAGCTGTCTCTCAGACAAAGGATTTCTATCTAGAACATAAAAGAATTAAAAAGTCAGGCCCCCAAAATACAAAGACTCAATTTAAAAAAATGGGCATCTGAGATGAATGCATACTTCTCAGATGAAGAAACATAAATAGCAAGTAAATATATGAAAAAATATTCAACATCCTTGGTCATTCAAGAAATTGAAATTAATATTAAGAATGCATCTCACTCCAGAAAGAATGGCTATCTTCAAGAAATCATCTAATAACAAATGCTGTGGGGGAAAAAGAACCCCTCTCCATTGTTGTTGGGAGTGTAAATTGATGCAACCATTGTGGGTATCAGTGTGGAGATTCCTCAAAAAAACTAGGACTAGAGGTTCCATTTAACCCATATATTCCCTTTCTGGGTATTTAAAAAAACCCTGAAAACATCATACCACAGTGATATATGTGCACCCACGTTTACAGCAGCACAATTTGTCATTTCTAAGTCTTGAAAACAACCCAAATGCCCATCAACTGAAGAATGGATTAAAAAGATGTGGCATTTTTATGCAATGAAGTATTATTCAGCCATAAAGAAAGACAACCTCGAGGTTTTA